AGTAACCTAAAGTTCACATTGAAAATCATCAGTTCCACATTAAGAGGGGTACAGACTATTCAACTTGGCTACACACTGTCTCTCATCTCTCACTTTTTTTCCAGTTTGTCTAGGTATTGGAGGCCAGTGTTGAATAGCGTGATCATCACCCAATTAAAAAAAAATAAAACATACTTCCTAGTCCCTTAAATATAAAAGGTCATTTTGCTATTAGTACATTACTTGCCCAATACACTTTGGGATGAGGGTTGGCCCTCAGACTCCCTCATGTTGACTATCGTCAACAACAAGAGAAAATGCAGTGCTCAGATCACACATAGACATAAAGGCTCAGAAGGCAAACTAGAATAAAATGGAGCAGCCAAAGTCTAAGCCCTGAATCTTTACATTTCCAGTACTCTCACTTTGCAATCTAGAATGTATACTTTGAATGTCATTCAGAGTTTCCATAGTTTCTTCAAATCTTTAGATGTTGTCCTTCAACAAACCATATGGAATCAGAAACATTTACTCATTTCTTTTACTTCTATTTTCAGGATATAATGTTCACTGCCTCCTTTCTAAAACATGTATGCGGTTGGAGGAAGTATCTTAAATATAAAATAAATATAATTCATCAGAGATGCTTATTTTCTTGAAGCAATGTTTTGAATCATAGACCTACATAAATATATAAGAATTAGAATTCAGAAGATAAACTGAAGTGCTTACAAAGTCAATTTTCAAGAATGTGACCTTCTACATACAAAAATAAGTAGTTTTCCACATGTGAGGAGTACTATAAATGTGGGTGACTTAAAGAACATATGAAATAAGGACACCAGATAAAATGAAGAGATATAAGTACCATAAAAAGTGAACTACCAGAGGTGAAATAAATTCAACATGAAACCATTGTAAAAAGTTTATGGGGAAAAAAAAATGATACCTTCTCTTTCCAAACGGATATGTTTTCTATAAGTTCTTTGTTTTCTTTCTTCTCATTACTAATCCTCTTAGAAATTTTTTGTAAATTAACTAAAAGGAGAGGAAAGTAATAGAAAGTTTATTGAGAAAACTACATAAAATTGAAGTAACCCAAAGCATTTGTAGCAGTCACACATTATCTGTCACTATGAACACAAATTACTTTTTCATTTTACTATTCTGAATTAGAAGAAAGTTTTAGCTAGTGGCAATTCCAATCTAAAAAGTCATATAATAATGAGATTTCAGTTATAATGCTTTTCCTATGTAAAGTGATTTCAAAGATGAGGAAATACAATCTTCACCTCATTACTCTCCAATTAACAGAAGGCGCCATTCTTAGAAAATTGAGCATATTACATAG